AGTGAATTTCTCCATTGTGAAATCATCTTATCTTATTTTAATAATAAATTTTATGTAGTTATTAAGATTTATATCTGAATCGATGATCATCCCAAGATTTCTAGCCATTTCACAGCTCTGGAGGCAAACACACTGAAGATGGGCACTGATTTTTTTAATCTATGCAATTTTGGTTCAAGAACTAAAACTCCTGTTTTATCTTTATTCGACTGAAGACAGTAGTTTTATAATCCAAAGGAAAGTGACCCATACATTTTTTAGAAAACTGAGCACCAGAGTTATTGGCAGATTTATAAATTATATTTGAGATGAAGCTCCTTAAAGCATTTTTCAATTCATGATTAAATGTTCAAAGTTTGAGTTTATAGATATTAGGTTTAGTTTCTGAATTACTTTTGTGGCACCAGCATTCACCTTTTTACCATTCAACTTTTTTTATCTGACGGACTCAAATTTTCTCCAAGGTGGTTTACGTTTTCTGGGTTTTAAATAGTATTGAGAACATAGGTGTCAACAGCATTATCAATTTTAAATCTAAAATAATCAACTAATTTATTGAGAAAAGTCCATGGAGTCCAGCTTTAAAGTATGGCAATGTATCACTATTTAGTCACTTGGTAGGTCCAGAACCTTTGTACCAAATGGACTGCGATAATTATAGCCTGATATTCTCCAAGCTATGTGTTAGTTTAAATATTAGTTTGATATAACTGTTGGAGTTTTGTCTCCATAATGTTACCCATAGAGCTCAAGTAGCCTAAATTCTCTAGATCTCTGATGACCATATTAGACTTAAAGGGGAACACTGTCTTTTTTTTTTTTACATTGGGCCCTTCATTTTACGTTATTACATCACGTTCAACTCACCCTTATGAGTTTTGTGTCATTTGGAGCTGTTCTGAAGATATTCCGTTTTGCTATATCCAAGTAACGTCTTCCCAATGGCAAACAACCAAAAGGCACAAACTAAACTGTTCATAATTTATTCTTTATGGTACGTCAGCATTCATAACATGTAGGGGAATCACTGTCCCCCAGACATTGGCGGTTATATATTTTATATCTATTCTTTTTAAACAAAGCAGAGTGTGTACTGTAAGACGTCATAAGTGAATGTTTTGCAATGGCCTCCCACATATGTAACATTACTAAAATATATATATATATATATATATAAAGGGAAGATTACTTTTTTTGAAAGAGTATAGGTTTCTCAACATTCATTCAACCCGATGGTTTGACTTCTGAATACACCATTTCTTCAGTCTTCAATGCCCTCTTCTTTGTTCCTCTAGGTATGTTCCCTCCAGAAAAATTTAATGAAGAGTAAACAAGATCTCGTCCTTCATCAAGCTGCACAGAGAAATGAATTTGATGTAAACTTATAGAAAAGTTAAGCTTTAAAATAATCAAATTTACTCAAATAATAGTTTTGTAATTTTTTTTTTTTATCACTACCTACAATTTCATCTCTCTGTTGGTTAAAGTTGTTGCGTTTTGCTTCTGAGGGGCGTTCTGTAAAATAAACAGTAACATGCATTATTGATAACATTTTATTTAAACTCAGGTTGTTAATTTCTTCTGTACATCTTGAAATTTCAAGTAGAATACAAAATTAATATTGTTCGGTTAATAATACTTACCTTTGACTATTTGACATGGAAAGGCTTGAGTTCGATAAAAGATCAAAATCATATGTACGATCACAGAAACAGCCAAAACAATTATTGTGATCAACAGAATCATATTTTCATAACATAATCTTTGACCTAGAATGGAAAAAAAAAAACATGAGCATCTCCTAGCATTTAAATAGTAATCTATTATTGTGATTATTTCTCAATGTGGGTATATTACCTCCTTCCTTTCTGATGACATTTCCTAGTAAGATTTCTCCACATGTAGCCACAGCACAGTAGTAAGTCCCAGGATCAGAGGAGCTGATGTTCTTGGGGAAGTTATAGATACATTTTTTTCCGGTGTTTGGACTTTTCTTACAGTTATCAGCTCTTTTACCATCAGTGTAGATGATATTTGGATAGGATCTGTTGGATCCAGCTTTGAACCAGAACATGCTGAGATCTTCTGAACAAGAATTGTTTTCTGACTCAGAGAGAACTGAACACTGCAGAGTCTCTGAGTCTTCTGGACCGGACGACTCTGAGGCTGTTGACTGCTGAACAACAGTGTAGCTGGATGTCTTCTTTGAGTTTCCTGAAATAATTACTATAAGGTTATATTTTAAAACTAAAATGTCTGATATATAAAATATAATAGACAGATTCATAAGGAAATTATATATTACATAGTGCCTCAATAGTAAAACTGTCCTCTGTGTTTAGCCTTTTCCCAAGAGAGCAGGTAGCTGCCACAGTAGGGGCAGAAGAGCATCTTTGGGTTCAGGATCAAGAGAGAGGTTTGTTTGTTTGTTTGTTTAAACCAGAGATTTTATGGTCTCTCTACATAACATAAGGATCCTGATCTAAAAACATTAAAACCACTTGCCTCTTTACAAAGTGTAAAAAGTATGACTGGGTCTCTTTTTGGTTAGCATCTTTGAAACTGAAGCAGTTAAAATGATACTTGTTCAAAGTAATTTAATATTTGCATTTATAAAAATTTGCATGCATAATGAATCTTTTTTGCATCTCTCATAGTAAGAACATATCAACAAGAATAAGACATTAAAAACAATGGATACATCAGAGGCACATATAATATTTTGCCATTGACCAGTGTAAACTAGTAAAACACTTTCAATCTGTTTAATAGCTGATTCAGATGAAATTTTACATCCTTTAAAAACTTGTTAAATCCAATTTAAACTGTGCAATATAGGTTTAATATGCAATTGTAGTTTGAAATTTGAGAATTTTTGTTTCTTTAGTGAGAAAGATTTAAAAGCATTGTAATACTGAGATCTTACATTACCTTTTACCATCAAATACGTCCCCATCCAAGTAGAACCTGTCCAGTGGATAATAGCACAGTGATACATTCCCTCGTCTTGTTCAACTGTCCTCATAATTGTGAGGTTGCTTATTTTATCATCATTTGTAACTTTGAATCTTGAAGAAGGAAATTCTGGGCTATTATTGGGATCCATGGTTTTTCTCTGCTTTACAATCATTTTCAGAGTATCTCCAGAAGTTTGCTTGTACCAGTAAATCCATGTTCTGGACTCCATATTTGCACAGGTAAAAGTAACAGGTTCGCCAAGCTGAACACTGATCACAGGAACTAAGGCATCTGGGTTAGAGATAAAATCCATGATTCACATAAAATGTTAATGCCAAACTTAAAATAGCCTCACACTTTAAAACAAAATGTACTTACATCCTTGATGAAGAATAAAGACTGTGATCCATAACAGAATCATGATGACAATGACTTCATAAAGACCCTTGATGCTTAAATAACAGGAGTAGGTGTGGCGATTCAGATCTAAAGTGCATCTACTGTAACTGGTTTCTTTCTTTTCAGAAAAAAAAAAGAATGCCTCCCCCCACAATGAGACCATGTTTAATGAAAGATCTGCTTTTTATTTTAATCTTGCAATTATGAATTAATTTAAGGCTAACATTCATGTTTTCTTTTGATCTGACCCAATTCTTTGATCAAGAAGGTTTTCCACCTATTGTGTGATTGAAACAATACTTAGCACAAATATCTTTTCTGATAGCGCCACCAACAGGTTCTTCAGTAATATAAAATAAAAAAAACCAGAGGACTGATTTGAACTCTACCACAAATGTTCAGGTTTCCATGCCATAAGCAGCTGCTAATGTTTGATGAATGTGTGACGTCTTAAATTCTCAAAACACCAATTGCTTGTCATTTCATTTGTGACTCTCCAACTCGATGTTAGGGCAAAAATAACACATTAGATTACCAGAGTTCAATTATATAGGCAGATAGGTAAGGACCTCACCTTTATTTATATAGCCATTTTCATCCAAAAGCAGCTAAGAGTGGTTATACAATGAATGCATACAAATACATAGAAGTTCTTAACAAGTTATAAGAGATACATAAAAGTGAATTAAAAATAAGCAGTTTTAACCTTGTATACAAAGAGCTTGGGGTTTTGGCAGTTCTACAGTGTACAGGAAGCTTTATTTGGATTGTTGCAGCAACAAATCTTAAGGCTGCTTCAGTGTCTTTTATGAGTCTTGAAATGGTGAGTACTGTGAGTTTGACTCTGATGATCTTCAAGGTCTTTATGGTTTTTAGCATTCAAGAAGTTCAGAGATGTAATGAGGGCTCTGACTAGTGAGTGCCTTATAAAGACTTTAGAACTGGACAGATGTGCTGGTCTGTTCTTTTTATAAGAACTAGCTACTATAGTTTTAAGAAGTTGGACCTGTCTGATTCTCAGTCTGATGAGAAAAAACTATGAACTTATTTTTTTCAAGATCCTGACATCTGTTGTCTAACTCTAGCGAAAACATTTAAATAATAAATTGAATCTAGTTATCATGATTTATATCTGAATCAATGATCATCCCAAGGTTTCTACCCATATCAGAGGTCTGCAGGAAAAGAGACTGAACTGAAGAAAACATTTTATCTAGTGAAGAGGTTAGAGAAATAATAACTTATCCAGAAGAGAAACCAATAGAAAATATAGAACAAATGAAGGTCCTGGCTGAGGGATAAACAATCCTAGATAAACACCCGGAATTTACTAAAGAATCCAACAAACCAAAATAACGAGTTAGGGCTGAACCAACTAAACATTCTGAGAAATAAGCAAGACGAAATTATCCAGAAAACAGCTGTCATTGATAAAACAATCCACGCTAACATAGGAAGCTAATGATAAAAATACCTCGATATGGCAAGACCCTAAACTCAAAACTAAAAACAAACAATGGAGTTAATGGATATAGCATAGATGAACACAAAAATAATTAAAATAATATGCTAAACAATAAAATTGTGGAAAACATGAACTCCCGGGAAACCAAAACTAGTCTTTAAGATAATGACGAGTAGTCTTCACGGCCTGTTGAAAGAATTTAAAAGAAACTGTTTCATTTCATAGCTATTTATTTCAATCAAATCTATAGAATAAAATAAAAAAACTAAAGAAAATAAATAATGAGACAGTAGTCTTACAATCCAGAGGAAAGTGACCCATTAATTATTAGAAAACCGAGCACAAGAGTTATTGGCAGTTTGAAAAATTTTATTTGAGATGAAGCTCCTTCTTGCATTTCTTAATTCATGATTAAATATTCCAAGTTTGAGTTTATAGATTTTAAGTTAAGCTTGTAAATTACTTTTGTGCCACCAGTATTCACCTTTTCAATTTATTTATTTTTTCTCACGGACTCAAATTTTCTCCAATGTGGTTTATGTTTTCTGTAAATTGTTTATATTGCATTGACAGCAATGGTGTCAACAGCATTTTCAACTTTACACAAAAAAATATGCAAATATCCATCTTAAAAGTACCCATACAGCACAGGTAGCCTCTGGATCTCTGGAGTCCATATTAGACTCAGGGTAGTTTAACAGTCATTACTTAGATAATGCTTAGGTAAGTAAGCATTTCACATGATGAACATTAAACAAGTAGGAGACCTACCTACCGCTAATGAAGCACCTGCTGCAGACACAGATGTTAGCAGACTTCGCTCATCCAAATCACAGGTGGATTTAAAGTAAACTTTTCTCATCTTTGTGATTTGAAGATTTTAGCTTTTTCAGTATAACGAACAATAGCCCACTAGAGACCTACCCTCCCCCCACCAATACTCTCACCAACCTCCGACCTATCCACATCTTCGGTCATGCCTTCCTCCCCAGTCACAGTCACTTCAATGCAGGTGAGAGGCCAGCTGATGAGGTTGAAAGAGACAAAGCCTCAGGACCGGATGGCATCCCCCTAAAGGCTGCTGGGGACCTTTGCAGATTATCTCTGTGAGGTCCTCAGCTAAGGCCCCGTCCACACGAAGTCAGAACAAACACGAAACGCTAATATTTTCCAGAACGTTTGTCGTAAAGACGGAGACGTAAAATAAATGTGATCGTCCACACGAATGCATGAAAACGCTGCAAAATGTATGCCAGGCCTGTAAGTGGCGCTGTGGTGCCAAAGCAAAAATAGGCNTTATAAGTTTTGAGTGCAAGAAGATGAAATTCTTTTCTCAAATTGAAATTATGTGCTCTTGCATTATGGCAGGATAATTCTCCCATATTCATGACTGTGAGGGAAAGGTTTTGAGGAAAAAATAGGAATTTGTAGAATCTAAATGCATTAATTTGCATATTGAGCACCACAGCAACAATAAAAAAAATCTTGATGTACAGGTTGTATTTTAGAAACAAAAACTGCAAATTATGTTTTACATTTAGAGAAAATTACACTTACTTCCTTGCTAAAGAAGATCATATAGTATAACCCAAAGCAGAAGCATATTTACACAATTTACACTCTATGATACTTAAAAGAAAGGAGGAAGTCTAATATTTCCTGTCTCGCTCACTTTTTTCCGCAGATATGTGCAAAGTAAGTGTGTCATGATCGCAGCCCCGGTAACTGATCTGATTACTCACTTCAGTCACCTGCCGTTCCTTCCCAGTTCTCTAATTATCACTGATCTTATCCACCCGCTCCCTCTGCTATATATACAGTTCGGCCCAGCTATCGGGGCCAGATCATTATTCATGTATTCTTAGTTTATTCGTGTTATGTTTTTGAGTCATTTATTTACGTTTGTTGAGTGATCACACTGAAAATGTTAGTGATTTCAAGAGTGGAGCCCCCCCTTTTCACAATTTTTACCTTTCAGAGTCAGATAAATCTCTTTTTCTACAATTTGCTCTGAGGAGTAGTAGTAGATAGTGATAATCTCTTACCCAGGATCCTATGTATGTAGTAGTGTAATAGATCACGTGTTGGGAAGCATCGGAGATGGAGAGCAAAGAACTGTGGAGCAGGGTTCTTCCAGGGAGCCAACTCTCCTTCTGAACCCAATAGGTACCCTATTTCTCCCCCCTCCACCAGAGAGCAAGGCGCCAAGCACCAGGGGCAGAACACAACCCAGACAGGGCTCCCCAGCCCCC